GAGCAATTTGAGGTTCGAAAGAGGATAAGCCGATAAAGCCAAAATATGTTGTGACCCTTATAAGATGCCATGGCCAGAGCAATTTTGGTGGTCCGAATTTAGAGTGTAATCGTTAATAGCTGGGTAAAAATTGAATCTTGATAGGTAAAAGATGGTGGAGCTATGCTTGATGGCTTCACATGGCTGCCCGCGTGGATTCCACTCCGACCTTGTTTCAAACAGGTTGTCTGAGGTGAGAATTGGGGTTTTTATTTATTTATTTATTTATTTATTTATTTATTTATTTATTTATTTATTTATCTGGGTTTGTTTTGGTGAGATGTAAAAATTGATTGTTGGTTCATGTTAAAAATGGAGTCTTTGTGGGAAAAAAATGAATGGATATTTGTTGCGGATTGAGTTGATGTTTGGGTTATTGAGATGGAAACTGAAGGATCTTGAACAATTGACTGTTATTTGTGTATATGGTAGTTTATGTATACATTTGCCTTGTACACAGTCATTCTAATATGTTGGTTAGCTAAAATTTTGATGTGCTTGTTTAGTTGTTTATGCAGTGTAGCTTGGGGTTCTTATTGCTCGAATTCTACGCAGTGATGTATTAAATACTATGTGAATATGATCGTATTTGATTCATTCGAACGAACCATGTGATTATTGTCCTTGCCTAGGTATTCTTGGTATTAGTATTAGACTATTAGGAGATAAGTTGGACATTGATCTCGATCGTATATTGAGGATTTTGTGCTTAAATTTCGAACACAGATAAGAAATAATAGCTTAATTGAAAGGCAAAGTGAACAAGTCTTGGGATGTCACTTTGCTATCAAGCACAGAAGTTCCTCAGTTTAGAGTTCCTTTCCATTTTCCATTTATTTCATCTATTTCTTCTCCTCGTGTAACAGGACTTTCACCATTTCCTTCCCTGTCACGGCCCAAACCAAGAACTGGTTCATCCCTTCTCGTTTAACTTAAGTCTGCAGCAAAAAGAGGAGCTGAGATCTGATGGTGGGTTTCTGGGTTCTAATCCCTTCGTCACGATTGACTCGACCTCCAAAAGGCCTATACTCGCTGAAATTCAAGGTTTACATACCTCGAGATTTTTCTATTTTGCTAAATTTAGATTAATTTATTTAAATTTTATCGTGTGATAATGTGCAGCTATATAAATAGTTATGAGAAGAGAAAGACATTGTTGCTATAACTTTAGTTACTTGTTTGTGAGAGATTGCCTTACACAATTGTGAGGTTTAATCCCTCCTAAGAATGTGCAATTCTCACAAAAGAAGCATATCGTGTTTGGATACAAATATATCCGCTCAAAATGAGGTTTTATGAGGTTTTTTGGTTAACCGGAGTTTATATAGAAAAGGTGGTATGGTTAGTAGTTTGTGGGTTTTGACTTTGTATTAAAATACTATTTAAAATAAAATAATTAAAGTTGATTTGATGTGAAAGTAGGAGAGGGATAATGTGAAGTGATTAGTTAGTTAAAATTATGTGAGTGGGTGAATAGTAAATTAAAGTTGATGTGATGTGTAAGAATGATTGATTGATATTATTTAATTATATTGGTATTGTTGAGGATAGTTGAGTTGAGTTAAAGTTGAGTTACATTTTGAGTATGGATTAAGAGTAATCCTTCTTAATCTCTATTGCTCGTTCAAATAATTTCTTTTGGACGAGGTAAAATTGTATAAATGGCTCATTATTTTATCTTTTTTTTTTTTTTTTTT